GCCAATGATAAAAAACTGATGGGCACCTATCAGGCCACGACATATGTCATACACAATCTAAAATAGGTCACAATTAATGTTGTATCTTTTTAACTTTTTTTATGTAGCTATCTATATAGCTCTCGAATCTCTATAAATAAATGATGAAGAAGCACTTTTTTTTGTCTTTTACAAGATCTCGGAATTCTCTCATTTCTTTCTCATATTCCCTCTCAAGCTCTTGTCTCTCAGGATTACTTGTCAATATATTTGAATGTCATCTACAAATAAATTTGGATTTAACATCCTGAAAGGTGCGATGAGTACAAATTAATGTCGGTGAGTAGAAGATACGCACATCTCGAAAAACAATAGAAAGCAGATCTATCCATAAAAATGAATGCTTCCAACTACACTACTCGTCACGATCTCATGAAAATAGAGGAAAGACGTACAAAGATGAGCCAGGAAGGCTTGGGAGGTTTGTTGATGCATGCATCAAGAAGAAGTACACTAGAAGGATCTTCTAACTTGATTGTTCACTATAGAAAACTAGAGACTCAAACGCTCACTTCAACAATCAATGTGGATACCATTCGCACAGCCACCAACAATAAAGAGTACAACTCCAAGGGATAATGGAGGTGAGGCCATCTCCAAAGTTCATGATGCCCATCCTACAATCTTACAAGGGAAGATCTGACGCCACTAACTATGACATTAAATTTGAAACAATGATGTCAACGATGCTTTAAACATCAACGGTTCTGTAATACATTCAAAGAGTCAGTACTCTGACGGTTCACTCGCCTGCTCGTGGCAGTGACCACTTTATTCACCAAGTTTAGAAGAATGTTCTTCAAACAATTTGCAATTGCCCAAAAGGCTTAAAAGAACTCAAAAACCCTCCTCATAATGCACTAGGACTCTAGGAGCTATTTGAGTCGCTACGGAGCTTCATCGTGATATTCTAAAGGGAGAAGCCTGAGGTAAAAGACCTAGTCCCCTAACCCAAATATTTTGCTAAACACTATAGCAACAAAAGACAACTGAGTTACTCAAACTCGCTAACAGCCATGTCAATGTTGAGTACAATCAAAATGTTGAATCCTCCTCATCCACTCATCCCAAAGAGCTTGCTACCAAGAATAACAACCCCATGGCAAGAAGTGTGAGAGAAGTCATGCATGGACTCATAAGGTTGAAAGAAAGACATTGATAACAAGTGATCAACACCCTTTACACCACGAAAGGGCGCCCGTACATGTAAAATCACTTGGTATAATTGGGTTGCTCGTGGCAAGATTAGAAGAAGCACTACATGTCACTCGCCCCCTTTACGAGGAGAGTATACACCATACTCCTAACCACCCCATAGTTACTCCACTATAGGTATCAATGGTTGAGCTTGCAGAGGCCATCCCAAATAAATAACCCTTCAATTGCCGACCACTTGGAAGAACTTAGAGCATTGGCCATCCTTAAGCAAGAAGAAATAAAAAGGAGAATGGTCGAATGTTATAATACTAATATCAAAGACAAATCTTTCTACTACGATGACTTAGTTCTAAAGAATGCAGATGCTACTGCTCACTAATATGTGATGGGAAAGCTTCAGTTTACTTAGATGGCCCATACATCATCAAAAAATAGGTTAGCCTCGAAGCCTGTTAGTTACAAACTTTTACACGGACAAGGAGGTGCCAAGGATGGGAGAATTCACGACCTTAAGATTTTTATCAATAAGGGAAGACTCTATAATCATACATATATGTGATCAATCATAATGATAATTATCTCTTTTTGAAGACTTGCATTTTCAAATTACCTGAATGAGCAAGTTCATTATTTAAACAAGTATGAATTTAGGCTAATATACATATAATAAAAATAACACTCAAGGAACTCACTCCCTCATATACAAACAATTAGGAAACTTGACCCCTCATAAGCAAACACTTAGATAACTTACCCAATTTGCCTGCGACTGTTAAACCTATGAGCCACATGACGCATCACTTTAGATTTCAATAAAAACAAACATATGATTACAAGCTACTTGACATTAAATTTTAAGTATTTCAAGTGAGACAACAAAAACCCAATTTGATCAGCCAGTTTATTAAGAAGACCAAATTCAACATGAGTTGGGCTTGTTGGGTAATTGTATTATTTTACATAGAATGACAAATATTTCTCACAAAAATTAAAATTAACTGCAAAATAAATATTATCTAATTTATCAATATTATTTAAAATTTTATTGCATATATTATTTAGCATTATTTGCACATTCTTTGCAATTATCATTTCTTAATAAATTTGATCTCTTGAATTAAATAAACATTTATCCATCAACATTTTTAATATACAACATTTAGTACAAGTTACATTATTTATTTGTTCTTCATTCATATTTATTAACGAAATAATTTATTACAATAATTTTTAGCACATTATGATATTTAATTTTTGAATTATAACATTATTAATTTTCTCTCTTCTCCATTAATTTTCTCTCTTTACATTAGTTTCATTATTTTAAATCACATGGCAAAATTTTGCATCAGGTAGTTTCATATGAATATTTAAATTAATTTCATGAAATATTTGATATTATTAATTTCCCTTTATGACAACTTCAAACTTCAAATAATTGGAAAAATTCCTAAATTTGCATAATGCATTAATTACTTCGATTATTTCTTCGGTCAGCCACACCATTAAATTATTTCCATGATTTTAAAGAAATTATTGTGAGAAAATTTGAATTTATCATCTTATTGCAAATCCAAGTTGTGTGAGTAAAACTGTTTTGAAAATTTTTAAAGATAAATATTATTATTATTAAAAAAATTGATTGTATTCTAAATTTTTTAGTTGTATTTGCCTGTTGTAAAAAAGTACGGTATTTTGATTATTTTAATGGGTTGTGCTCGCCACTTTGTGGGAAAGTATAAAAGTACTATACTATGATGAGATTATTTAATTAAATTCTCACCAAGTGTTGGTTAAAAGTGGACGTAGGCTGATTTTGAAGTTCGATCAAATCATATAAAAATATTATTCCTACAATAATGACAAGCCCTGATATTGTATTTGTTGTCTCTTTTTTTTTTTTTCTCTTGCAATTGTGAATAGTTGAATTTTCTAATTATCATTTTAACCTACCTTTATTTTTACAAAAATCAAAATTAATATTCATGTTTTATAAGAAAATTTTAAAATACATCCAATCCACCACCACCCCCCTGCTTATTGGGTGAAACAATAGCTCGTGCATTTTGTCAATCCTCAAACTCATTCAATGGATGCCCTAGTAGCTTGCTTGAGGAGAGATAAACTTTGGGTTAGCTAGGAGACAAAGATGCTCGACCACTAAACATAATTCTATCTAAGGTTTTCAAATGATCCTTCTTCTTATCTAGCCCCACAAAAGAACAAGATTCAACCACCACTGAATTAACAATAACCTGAATGAAGGCCACCTGCTCAATAGCCACCTCCACAACTAGATGCCCAACAGGTTGCTTGGCTAGCTTAGTAGTCAATGTGACATCATCAAAACTCAAGGAGAACTCACTCTCTTCGAACTTCCCAGAGCTGGCACTTCAATAGTTTCCCTTTCGTAGTTCTCAGTATGAGGACTACTCTTTGACTTTGGGAAATTCAAGCCTAGAAAAGTTCATAACAAGGGATTGTGCACCCCAAAGCTACTTTCCCTAGCTCAAATCAGCAACCCACAACCAATACCCTAACATAACTGTAGGGAATGAGCATCCCTTGAAGAGTTGTATTTAGTAATACTATAACCAAAAAGGAAAAATAGGAAAAAATACAATCAAGCACATACATGTCTATCACTATCTTCCCTCAACAAAGACAAAATGGAATAGGGAAGATTGCCTATAAAAGCATCATTCCAACTAAAGCTACAATTTAAAGCAAGTTTCTGTTTAGCACAAAAACCTATCAATATGTTACATTCTTTGTGTATGCAGTGAAATATCACTTGGCAAAGTTGTAAAGGAATCCAAGGTCAATAGAGTGTTCTAGTTGCTTAGCCCAAAAAATTTTATTCACGTAGCTACAGTATGATTAATCACATTTTGTTGTCTCCTTTAATAATGAAGCCCTTAGCATCATATATCCAAGGTTGGAGGACTTACTTAAGGAAGGGAATGGCATGGAGCTCCACTTGCGTGCTATCCATATGTTTAAAATGATGTTCAACTGCTGCCTTTAAAAGGTGACCACTATCATTTCAGATTATGGCTCCCAACCCTGCAATATGGGGTTGAAGAAGAGCCCCATCCACATTGTCTTTAATCCATCCAAGGGGTCCATCGAAAGAGAGTAGGGAAAGAGCATCTCAAGATGTAAAGGTTTTATCTTTAAAACTCCACCATCTCTCTGCACACGATTATCATGACCTAAAGGAAGTCTCCCATTGCATTTAGCAACCTTGAAATGGCACCTCAATACTCACCAGTGCACCACGAAAATTCACCATACTGACTTACCAACCCGCTTAGAGGACTCGTCATACCAATTCACTTGTGAAGACTCACCTAGGGTACGCACAATGAAACCAAGGACCAAGACAAAGATGAAGAGACACATGGGTTCCTATCAGGCCACAACACGTCATGTACAATGTGCAATGGGACAAAACTACTAACGTATCTTTTTAACTTTTTTTATGTAGCTATCGCAATAGCTCATGAATCACTATAACTAAAGGATAAAGAGGCACATTTTAGATCTTTCAAAGTATTATTGATTTATCAGAGCATTTTTTAGATTTTTAAGTATTTTCCTAGATTCTCAAGATCCTCTCATTTCTTGTCCATATTTGCTCTAAATTCTCAGGTTCTTGTCTCTTAGGATTGCTTGCGAGTAAAATATGATGTCATTCATAAACACATTTAGATCCAACACCTAGTGCAACCAATTATTAAACAATGTAATCAAGCAAAGCTGCAATGTTATTAAGAAGAGTAAAAAGAAGAATCACATACCTATAAATTGGCTTTTGCCAACGCTTCTTTGAGCATAGTTCATGAAGCCTCTGCTTCGAACCATCTACTTCCTCTCCTCCATTTGCATTAGCCTTGTTCGTGACAAGCCCACCATTTATCTGTCTAGACATAACCACATCTTCACATGTTTTACTGGTCTGTGAAGAACACTTTATAATTTCCATGCGGTCAACCTCATCATGGCACATCTTCTGCAGTGCATCTCTAGCAGCATTGAGCTTTGCAATAGGCTTCTGCTCAGAGGACCCAACACCAAGAAGCTCCCCATCAACGTAAACATTAGTTATGTTCATATTATCTTTCTTCCAATTCTTAAACTCGATACTCATTCCTTGCTTTTGACATAGTTCATAGATGTGTGACACGGGCTGCTGGTTTGGAGTTTCCACAGTAATGATTGGCTCTAAAATTCCCCTAAAAACCTATTGGTGTAATCATAAAAAAGCAAATTTCAAACTCTTTACACTAAACAGTGAAAATGTTTTTATTTTCCCCTGAAGAATCATGAATTGAAAATATATATATATATATATAACATTAAATAACCACAAAAGGTAGGCAGGTGGAAACAGATAGGAAATTTAAACAAGAGAAAATCAATCAAAATATCCAGAAAGATAGAAAAAATCTACCTTCCAGAACGCAACTAGATTGAAGCTACAATCTACGTAGATGGCGGCAGCAATAGCTTCTACAATATCCGCCAAAACCTTTGGAGCTTTTACCGTGCTCCCCCCGTAAGAAATGCCGGTATAGTCCTCCTCTCTTTCTTTGCTAACTGCTTCAGTGAATTCCTGCACCTGGCAAAACAAAAAATTCAAGCTTTACAACTCTAGGATAGAAATTCATATATTAAACTAATTAGAATGAGATAGAGCGATAAATTGACACCATTGAATCAAGTATGGGAGAGTGTCTACGGAGATAGCGGTAAAAATCATGACGAATGGCGACGCGAGCAAGTTTTTCCGTGGAGATATTTGCGGCACGGAGGACCGAGAGAGAGCCCGGACCGACTGAAGGGTTCGTTAAATAGACGAAATTAGTGAATGCAAGGTTAAGCACGGCATCACCGACGAACTCAAGCCGCTGGTAAGAAGCGCGAAAGGGGTAGGAGGAGTGGGTTAGGGCCTCCTCGAGAAGAGACAAATCATTGAATGAGTAGCCAATAATGCATTGCACTTGATCCAATGCGTCCTTCATCTCCTCGTCTACGGGGGACGTCTCGTCCGGTGCAGGAGTCAACGGCGGGGAAGGAACCCAGGAGGGCGTGACCTCTACCGGCGACGCCGCCGAAGAGAAACGAAGCGCGGCTGTAGACCGCATCGATGCGATGCTAAGGAAGATCTCCTCCATAGCAGGCTTTGTTCTCCTCTCACGATCCCGATCTCTTGCGATTCTCGCTCCTGAAGGAGACTGGAGTTGAAGCGAAGGGCCGGGCAACTCAGGACTTAAAGAACGATGGCCGATGAAAAGGCGACGCTCGCTTTTAATTCTGCCTTTAATTTGCACACAAACGGTCAATCCTTTCTTATTAAGAAACTATATCTTCAATATATTCTTAAACTTAATATTATTAGTAGGAAAGGCCACAGCGGCGGATCTATCACTGAATCGTTAAAATTTAAAAGCATATTTATTAGATATCAAAAAAGTTTAGTGGGAATATTCAGTCCTCTTAAATTTGGAATTAAAAATTATATAATTATACACCGAAAAGAGCTTTAATCTCACGTTTTAAAAAGAAATAATAAGGTTGTTAATTAATACTAATTTCCCCATTTCTATGTCTGCTATTTTTCCTATTATTCTCGCTAAAAGATCATAAATTTAGTACCTTGGATTTTCATAATTTTATGCTCTCAATAATCCTCATACCATATCATCAATCTAATTGCAATTTTATATATTTATCCATAACCCTTCCTGATATTCTCTTATAAGAAATAAATCCTTGTAAATATCTTCATTCTTCATGGAACTGATTTAAAAAAAATTTAACATAAGTATCACTCTATTCTCTAATAATATCAAATGACAAATGTTAATATTATAAAATTTAAATTATTAATTATATACTTTGACTCTAATTTTTTTTTATCATTCTAATTTTTATTTATTTTAGTAAATATCTCAGGGTTCATAATTATATAATGTATAAAAAGAATAAACTGGGTAATATTATTTGAATTTTCTTTATAGTATCTTCATAATAGTACAAAAATGTATAGAATTAAGAATAATTATTGATATAAATCTATAATAATTGGAAACTCTTGAATATTGTCACAACTACTTTAAACTAATTAGCAATATATTTATATATCTTTGACAAGTTTGACCTATTTTCGGCTCATTTTTTGCCTTAAAATACAATGAAACACATATATTATCTCATTATAAAAACATTTTGAATATTTTTCATATTAAAGAAAGGTTATTTTTCTTCATAATTTTGTATATATTTTCACTCATGTACCCTTGCATATACCTTCATAAGTGCTATTGCGGGCTAGAATATACGTGGCGATAGAGCTAGAAAATTTTTGTCTCTGTGTTGTACGGATATCCAGCACACAAACAGTTTATGCTAGCTTCAGCTTTTTATTCAAAAAAAAAAAAAAAAAAAAAAAAAAAAAAAAAAAAAAAAAAAAAAAAAAAAACAGATGAAAAAATGTAACACCATAGTTTTTACATGAAAACCTAGGAAATGAGACAAATCACAGGGCCATGCCCATTTAAAAGGATTCCACTAGTGTTTATTTAGATTACAAGTGGCTAACCCGTCCTTAAAATTGAGGACGATCAGATTATAATAATCAACTCTTAGGTTGAAATTCAGTTACAAACAGAAATTGAAAATCCGACGACGTTCTGGTGGTCGAGAGGAAATCCGGCTTCAATTGACAGTCAGGCAGAATTCCTACATTAGTCGGCTGTCGGGCAGAACTCCGACGCCAGTCGACAATGGGGCGGAATTTTGGTGTTAGTTGGAAGTCAGGTGGACAATGGGGCGGAATTTTGGTGTTAGTTGGAAGTCAGGTGGATGTCTGGCGGTGGTCAAGGACAAGTCACTTCATTCTCTTCCTTTTCTTCCTTATCTTATTACTTCCTTGCTTAATTTTGGTGTCGGTCGGCTACCAGGTGAAAGTTCAGCGGTGGTCGAGGAGAAGTCTCTTCCTTTTTTTTCCTTTTTTTCCTTCTCTTCTTCATTCTCTTCTCTTCTTTCTTGGGATTACCTCTCATAAGAAATGAGGGTTTTATTTATAGTTTGCTGAGAATGGCATGGCCAATAAATAAAAGGAAGATCAAGGGCAAATAGTGAGCAGTTTGAATGGATGGTCATTGTTGAATCCCTTGATCATGGACTATTTACTGAGCATTTGAATATCTTGATGATATCAAAATTCGATGATCCTGGCCTCGTTGGATTTCTCTCGTTGAGCCGCTTGATATGACTATAAGCACGCCATAATTGAAAACTTTTTGGTAATCCAAATTATGGATTGAACCTTCCAAATGTGCTTCAACTCTTTGATTTGGACACATTTGAGCTTGGATTTGGTCAAATTTGGTGTCGTTGGGTTTGTATTTTTGAGACGTTCAGTTCAATTATAATTTTATTGAAATCAGAGTTCATATCGTTTCTGATTTAATTTTTTGAAGTTTCCAACTTGAATTTTCCTCAAGATTTGTGCCCAATCAAGATAATTTTTTGATGATTATCAGCTGCCCCCTTTTTTCGAACATCAAAGCTAACAGAGTCCAAAAATATATATTACAACATTTTAAATTGATCGAATTGCAAAAAATGTTGAAATATTCAGTTCCAAAAAATATAAATTTGCTCAAACTTGACCATAGAATCCTTGTTTAGTTTCAAAAGTGCCAAAATTGAGTCTAGAATGTCAAAAAGTGGTTTTGGGGATCCTAAAAACGTCCAATTTGGACTGTTTGGGCCAAAAAATGAGCCTGCAGTGTAATCGTGCGCCACTTGGGGCGAACGGTACTATGCAACCCATTGTAACCAACTGCTTTGAGTTTTTTTTTTTAACCTTTTTTTTTTGCCCCTGCTAATTTTTTTTTAAAGGAGGCTGCCCCTTATATATATATACTTTTTTAATTACAAAAATTTTCATTTATAGTGTTAAAAAATTTCAAAAAAAATTCTAGAAAATTTAAAAAGCATCTAGAAGCCTTTTCTCCCTTTTTCAAAATCCCCCACCCCTTTTCAAATAATTTCCCCCCATTTTTCGTCCTATAAATACCCCCCTGGGGTAATGAAAAGTTTGCACCTCTTCTTCTTCTCCCTTCTTCACTTCTTTTTCTAACTTTCTTACAATTGAGGCATTCCATTTTTTTAATAGGTGATATCCCCTACTTAAATTTGGTGCCCCTCTCTTTATGTAGAACTTAGAATTTTTTGTCTTTCCTTCTCATTTTCCTCTCATTCTAATTTTATTTATAGTTGAAGTATTCTACTATTTCTAGTAGGTGGCATCCCCTACTTAAATTCAATGCTCATCTCCTTGTGTAGATGTTATAATTTTTGCAGTCTTTCTTTTTCTTTCTCCTTCATTCTTCTTCTTACTCTAGAGGCATTCCACTGCTTTTGGTAGGTGATATCCCCTACTCAAATTTAGTGCCCTCCAGTGTAGAAGTTTAAATGGGTGATATAACCTCCACCAAAATCCCCCAAGCCAAAGGAGATCGCCCTGGTGCCAGATATGAGGGTTTAAAGAAGACTTGGAAAGTAGTCAAAGCTGATGATGTCATATCCACCATAAGTGGTAATTCCTTGATCATTTATAGGAAGAGATTTCACTTCACTAATGATCTTATGATGAAAGTGCCAGAAAGATTCGTTCGTGACTATTCCCCTCCTCTAGGATTTTTATGGTGTACGAGTTTAGTTTGCGAGTGGGGCTACAATTGCCCCTCCTCTATAGCTGATTGACATTTTAACAAAAAGTGGAGTAAGTTTGTCCCAACTTTCTTATAGATCCATGTCGATTATAATGGGATTGATTATGTTTTTTGAAATAAATAGATCTGCAAGAGGGGGGGGGTGAATTGTAAAAAATTTGTTCCAATAATTAAAACCTAAGCAGGAGTTCTAATTTTTTTGATGTTTTTAAAATTTTAACATAAAAATTTAAACTATTACGAAGTCAAACAATTGAACTCAACGTGCAACAATAGAATCCTTTTCTTCCACAAATTTCACCAAGCAAATATTATGAAAATTAAGTGCAAGTAAATGTAAATAGTGATAAGAAAAAAGCACACCGGAATTTTATAGTGGTTCGGTCAAACCATGACAAGTTGTACGAACAGTTCAAAATCTAATCGTATGGTACGATACTAAATCATACGGTACGATCCTCAACACTACTGCTCGTACAGGACGATAGTCGGGATGATCAAATGTCATCTCTATTCATCGTATGGTATGATACACATCGTATAGTATGAATGGTCAAAATTAAGGCATCGTCTAGGATGAATTTCGGAATGAACAAATGTCGTCTTTGTTCATCCTATGGTATGATAGACATCGTACAGTACGATGAGACAAAAACTAGGGATCGTCCAGGATGATCTCCGAGACGATCAGAATTCGTCTCAATTCATCGTATAGTATGAACATATTCGTACAGTACGATTATCAATCAATAATTAGGCCTTAATTTATTCCACTAATCACGGGTTAATTTAAGTAAGTATTTAAAATAGATCGTACAGTACGAAGTTATTCGTACAGTATGAACGGCAGAGAATAACTTACTTAAGTTAATGTGATAGCTAGGGTTTTGGATTTGAAACACATCGTACATTACGATAGTATTCGTACGGTACGATCTATTCACAGAAATTGTTTTATAACATAATATCATACAGTACGAAATAACTTTATACAATACGATTATCAGAGAAAGAAAAAACTATAGTTTTTACTTTTAAAACCCTCTCCCCCTGTGTGTGTGCATGGTTGCACAGACTTACATGCAATTTGTGGCCAGACTCAAGAAAATAAAAAAAATTAATAAATTAAATTGTCAGGCTCATACTCCTAATCTAATCAGACTTGAGTCTTCTCATTGTCCTGAGTGGCTTGTGATCTTCCTAAAATGTTAGTACTCACTGATAATAGCAAACCATAAATGATATTCAATGAAAAGTAGTTCTGGCAACATTATTTGTCATCATCAAAAACTCAAACTCGGGGTCATGGGTTGCAATATTTTTTAGATATTATTGAGCAGTGTTGTCTTTAGAGTGCCTTTCTCAGATGGGTAGACTTATTGGTGATACTCAATGGCATATTTCTTTCAGATCCAAGTGGCTAAATATTTATGCTTGAGACCCATCAATGAGTTGGGCTAGTGATTTCTTTTTGATGTAGAATGTTTGGAATCTCTATAAAAAATGGGGAAAACTGAAGGATTTACATATTCCCTTACATGTTGGAGTAAAGGATTTATTGAAGATATTCAATCTCCCAGATATCCACACTCTCCATTATGAGTT